ACCAGCAGGTCGCTGAGCGAGGGTTCCTGGATCCTCTGGATCTTTAATCATCCCACTGCATCCTGTTTGACTCGACTGAACAGCGGCCATGAATACCAGCAAGGTGGAATTTGAGCCTTTTGAATATTCTTATTATGATTATTCAGACTGGTACTCAAACAACGCAGAGCCAACCAAACCCCCCAAAGAGTGAGTATAAAACCTGAAGATAAAAAAGAGCAGAACTGATGGTGTCAAAGGGTTGTTTGGTGATTTTGTGCAGAAAAAAGTGAAATTTCTTTTAATTGGAACATTTTCAGAGATGCAATCATATACATTTAAAGATATAGATTATATGTACAGTACATATACCCATCAGTCGCAATTACATTTATCAAATGGGAAAATCATAAAACTGTGGCACTATTTTGGCAGAAGCAAAATTTGGAGCAATTGAAATTATAAGTGTCTCTTGTTTTAAGTATTTGCATGTTGTGCCATATCTGCAAATAACTCAGCTTTTACTTAATTTCAAAGTGTTTTGCGTTTTTTTATCAGAGTTATATTGCCATGTGACCCCACAGCGGAAGGCAGGCTCTTCCACATATGCATGCTGTCGATATCTGTAAGTATATTGCACATCTGCTTAGTGTTGGTGTATTAGAGTGCTGGTTCCCAACCGTTTAGTGTTGTGACCCTTTATAGCCAAGTGATGTCAAATAAATAAACTATTGAAGTATGAAATTAAAACAGAGATATCAAAATTGGAAAAGGAAAATGCCCCATCATTTGGCCATAATGTATTTCACAGTGAATCAGAACGTTGTATAGCAACACATTAGCCTCAGACAGCTTACAAAGTGGCTGGCTCTGCTCTGTTTGCACAAACATTAAATGAGCAAACCATAAAACAACTCTAGAAAACAAAGGGTTTAGGTTTTGTTCTAAAGTTTTTGCATCCTGCTTCCTTTGATTTAGGCAGACATTTCATTTAATGATGTTTGCCATATTTTGTTCTTAGTCATTTAGAAGTCAGGGCCACTTTACCTTGGTCAGAACATTTCTCATACTGTAGAACGGACATTGACCGATTTCCCTGTTCAGAAAATAATGTGGAATACTGGGTCACTGCAGCAGAAATAACAAGGCATCATAGTCTGAAGTATCCTCTTTGAAGAATGAGTTTCTGATGCACGTTCTCATGTCTGATTGGTCGCTTTATTACAACTTCCAATTGCATTTTCAAAGCTGCTTTGCTTTGTTATTTCGTGAATTGAATTTAATGAGATACTTTAGCAGGCAAAAGCTATATATAGCACCAATTAAAAAGAAACACAAATAAGTTCACAATATTTACCTAAAGGAGGAAGAGTAAAGTATGACTTAGAGAGGTGATATTGAGAATTGGAATTTTTTCCAAGACTTTGGCCAATCAGCTTTTGACTTTAGGCGCGTTCACACCGCGAACTCTTTAGTTCTGATGAACTATGTACGGGACGCGTTCACACCGGAATAAATCCCTGGGGGTGGATTAGGCAAATGAAGACGCTGACGTCACTTCTTCTTCTTCTGCTTTGGGTTTACTGGCAGGACGCTAACAACTTCACGGCGCTGCCGCCCAAAATCCCCGGCCGGAAGTCCCTGGAGTTAGGGACTGGCGATTTCTCTGGCGATTTACTCGGAAGGCTTCAGTAGAGGCTGCTGGGACTCCCAGCAGCTTCTACTGAAGCCTTCCGAGTAAATCGCCAGAACGCCGACACCTCCTCATCTCCACCGCTCCCATGTTTTATTTTGTGTTGCCATAAGTTAGTCTCTCTGCGTTTCTGCGCTGGGCTAATAGCCCAGCGCAGAAACGCAGAGAGACTAACTTATGGCAACACAAAATAAAACATGGGAGCGGTGGAGATGAGGAGGTGTCGGCGTTCTGGCGATTTACNGGGGGAGGGGGCTCCACTAGCACCCGCTCCACGGATTGGACTCGCTACAGGGTGTACTTTGAGGGTTTGTGACTTTGCAGACCGTTTACATGTATAAAAACCTTCATAACACACAAGGGGACGGTTAATAATATGGTAATAACCGGAAAAGCATGACATGGGACCTTTAAGGAATTACAATAGTAAGAAAACCTGAATCTTTTAGCACAACTATCTTTTAGTCCACCTATACCAAATATCTGTATAATCTGTTTGGATTTCCACTTGATAATAGAACAACTGGAAAATATAACCTCCAAGCTCTAAGTATCGAATAACACATTATTTATTCATTTTTGCAATAATTACCTTCTCTCTGTACATTATACTGCTGAATACATTGCTCCACACTTAAGAAACCACTGTCTTTACGCAATTTTTTTATTAAAAATGATTTCATAGAGTTTAAAATGTTTATTGATTTGCTTAAAGAAATAGTCTAGTTGCTGTGTTGTGAGATCAGAACTGCGTCCATGACTATGTTATTTATAGCAGCGGCCTGCAATTAAGAAATAACATACTGTAAATCAGAATAGAGTTTTAAACAGTCATGTAATAATACACATGTGTATCAGTGAACATAAAGGCTTTATTGTTTATTTGTTTTAAATGAATTTCCAAAATGTTCTTTTCAGACAAAAACCCTGAAAAGTTTTTCTTTGGCCTGAAAACAATCTTACAAATGTATCATTGTACACGAAAAACCTCTGATTGCTGCCAATATGGCACCAGGATGAGGACTTTCTTCAGAGTGTAAAAATGTAACAAAGCTTGTGTCACAAATATAACGCATTGCAAACTGAAATTTGACTAGATTTAGGCAGTAGTAAATGTGCTAACTGTAACTAAAATATACCAATACTCTGTGCAGTAGTTTGGAGATGATTTATTTTGGCTTCATTGGATAAATATTCTATCATAAGCTTTCAGCATAATGTAACTCAGACAGGCCAACAAGGAAAGCTCATTGTCTCATCTAGCCCATGACAAAAGACTTGGGCAAATCAAAGGTCATTTCAAGTAGCTATCCGTTCACATAGCTTCGGTAAAGGCCAGAAAGAAGGGCAAAAGTTGCTATGCCAGCATTGGCAACAATTGCCTGCACTGCAAAACAAACCAAAATGAAACACAAACTGATCACAAAGAGAGTGACGATATAGGAGAAGAGTTTCAGAGATCTGGAGAAAATGTACTTATAGTTTAGCCTTCTGTGATCTACTCCTTCGATACAGCCATTAACGGTAATGGTTAGCATCATATTAAACTATCAACAATTATATGTTTTTGTTGAGGTACAACATGGATTTAAGCGTGCTAAAAGATTGTTATGAATTATTTGTCCAATAATGCCAAAAATAACTCCCTTCACCAGCTTTAGTCATCTCATGAGAGTTTAAACGTTTAGAAAAACTGTGTTATTTCAAAGTGAAACACAATGTCTCCCAGAGCTATGAGCTTTTCAGTTGTACTGTGAGCAATTTCTATGAAGAAAAAACGGTTTTCATGTTGAATAAAACTTGGTGTTTGAAAAAAGCTCTCTATGTTGCTGGTAAATGTGGACAGCTCAGTATTTTCCACCAAATGTACTGCAGTGTGTAACAGTACGGGCACTTATGAGCGCCTCTGTGAAGTTATTGCCTTATTGTACCTGGGTCATGTGTCCATCCTGTCGTATTTCCAAGAGTATTATGTTAGGAGGCCTGCATGCTGTCTGTTGTCCTGTATGCTGCGTCTTGGGTAAATATTCTTGACTTAAAGAGTAACTTTGGGCCTGTATTTGTCTTTATTGGTTTTATACCCCTGTAACAAAGGTAGTAGTAGGATTTACCAAAGTGTTGAAATATCCTCGCTTACTCTCCACTAACTGTGCCTCAATAAAGTTTTGAGAAAGGAATACTGAATGATTGCTCAATTCTCAGTCTCTCTTTTCCCCTCAGAACCTTTAGATTTTAAATAATCATTGTATATGATATATGCTTTGAATGAAGTTCATTCAATACATTTGTCTTTTTGGATTTGATAGTACATTGTAAATAGGTCAAGTAATAAACTAATTAATTGAAAAATAGCAGGATGACAACAAGAGGGCTGGGTAAACGCTAAACCACTAGTAAATATACCATTTATTACACTGATTACTGACGCCAAAAAAACAACCTTCAAACGATTCAATAATAAAGCAATACATGTCGATGAATGTACACAACATTTTTACTTTAAAATGGAATAAATATGAAGTCACACATTCAACAAAAACACTGTGCTTTATGGCACAGCCCAAGGAGTTTAAAGGCCATTTGCATATACAGTATGCATTAAAATAGAATGCAGTAAATGCAACAGAAAAGTATAATCAGTCTTTGAAAAATGCAATGTGTTTAACCTCAAAACCTGTAATTTCTCATCCCATTATAATGATGGGATATAATGTAGTTGAAATTGTTTTGCAGACAAACTTCTAACAGATAATAATAAGATATTACATTGAAGAGTCATTAAGTAGCATATGACGCAAAGGTTCAATTAGAATTGTATCGTTCTCAAATGACATTTTTGCAGTTTATTACTTAGTAAATTACTTTATTTACTTTGCTTTAAAGGGTGAGGGTGTAGCATTCAGAATCAGAATCATAAATCCTTTTTATTTCCCTCAAGGGGTAATTTTACTGTACATGGGGATTTATAAGCGGAATGAATATTAAGTATGCACTGAGTACACTTTTAGAACCAGTACATGACGACATAACCTGAGCCAAAGTGTACTCAGTTACAGCCCTGAACATTGTGCATGTCAATAATTCATTACTTAAAGTCCTCAACAGTACTGTACAAGCAGATCACAATACAGTCTAGTCTTTTTGTCATTCATATTATTTTCAATGTTTTTGGGAATTGGTGACCTTGTTAGTTTGAATTTCTCTATTTACACGCCAAACCATTTTATTTGGGGCCCTTCATGACATATATCTTTATTGAGCGGCATACTTTCCAAATAAAATGTTGCCTGCAGTATACTGCGGAACACACTAAGCAGATAAAGGTATTTCATTCAGTTTTATCTTGGTTTGTTGGTGCCTCAGTGGACTGGACTGGCTCGGCAGCAGGCGTAGCGGCCTCTTTCCTACTGCCTTTACTGGAGCTGCGGTTGGGGGTCCCGTTCAGGGTGCTTTCTGAGGTCTGCAGTGTCTGGAAGTGCTTCCTGGAGCCCAGCAGGGATGGATTGTTGACCAGTGTGTACACCAGTTGCCAGCGACATTGAATCCTCCGACGGCTTGTAGCCTTGTTTGGCCTGTTCACCTGAATCCCTGAAAGCATGGAGGAGCAGGCAGTCAGGGCAGAACGAGACACCGGACTATGACTGAATATAATGCATGTTTCTGTACAGCTATTTGTATGTTTTGAAAATCTTACAAAACTTATCATATTGTTTTTCATGTTCAATAAACAGTTTTAGGCGCCAGGGAAACCATGGGAGATTCAACTTTCTTAAACAGACCTAATATCGGGAATTAAACCTGAAAGGTTGGAAATGTACAATACTAAATCATCAGCATATAATGACACTTTATGTTCCTTCTCCATACTAAAGAAAGGAAGAAATTGTAAACAGCATGGCAACACTTTGAAAAGGAGTGGACAGAGAAGACATCCTTTGTCTGGTGGTACCTAAAGGAACATAATCACATCGATGCATAAAGTAATTTCATCTAAAATATGACATTTGGGTCTAATCCAAAATCTTGACACGGTCAGAAAGTAAAAGTCCTACTCAACCCGGTCGAACGCTTTCGATTCGCCAACGAATATAAGTACTTGAGGATTTTATACAGGACTGCTGGGATAACATGATATGAAGGTTGAAGAATGACAAACAAATGTCTATTTTTATAAAACCTTCTTTGATCCCAAAATGTTATGGGTTGAAGCACTGAACCTAACCCTAATCCCTGTCTAGGTGTATATCTAAAATCTTGGCTAGCAATTCTGCATCTAAATCTAGAACACAGGTTTAGCGGGCCTTTGTCCTTTTTCAGGAGTATAGCTTACATGCCTGAGTATGAAAAGATTATTGAAGACTTAAAGTAACAAAGGGGGTGAATGTTGGTGAAGAGGATATGTATTATATATTTGTGTGTTTTTTCAAGGTCTCTACCTTCCTCTGCGTCTCTTATTTTCTGTCCAGCTCTGCCTCCCTCCACCATCATGTCCAGCAGCAGGCCACAGAAAGCCTTCATCACCGGGTGTGACTGGCTGACCTCCACCTTCAGGAAGTGGGCGTAGTATCGGTAGGCTGGAATGCATCAAAGTTTGCAGAATGTGGCTTAAAACTTTTACATTTTCAAATCTCTCAAACTGTTAAAAAAACAATCAAAGATGATACCTGGGTCGTAGGACTCTGCAGTTCGGTGAAGAAGACTGATGTCAATACGACCAAGGTGGATGATGTTGTACAAAGCTGTTATCACTATTCTCCAAATTGCAGCTACCAGTCCCATCATGATGTTGATCAGGAACAGCAGATAAGTCAAGAGGAACAAACTCTCTCTGCAAATACCCCCAAGCAAATTCAGAAATCATAAAGGTGGTTGCCTTTATTTCCTTTATACAGGTAAAGGTGCGTTGTCGCTTGCCGACGGGCATGTCTGAAGCTAGATCAACAATCAATCACCTGAATCTCCCGCCCCGGACACACAAGCAGCGGTTTGATTGGCTAGAGCTTGTACTGGCATATGATTCGATTGGCTGACGCTTCCGTCAAAGCTTCAAAAGTTGAACATTGCTCAACTTTTGCAGCGAGAAACTCTAACAATCAGACTGGTTCTAGTGAAAGGTACAGTAATGGTCCTAGGCTAGGACCATTACTGTGCCTTTCACTAGAACTAGTGTGTGTCTGAGATTATCATGGCTAGGACTCCTAGCCATGATAATCTCAGACACTTATTTTTATCAATCTGATCCTTTCAGTGGCACTTTATTGAATCAACATTGACAGTGGTAGCCCAAAAATACAAAAGTTACCTGTCAATTGCCTAATCAACATACTTCATCAAGAAGCTTCACATACCTGTTGTTCAAGTCTCTCGTACCGGCATCTTTTTTGATGAACGCAAACTTCGCAGTCACATGTTGAAGCACTGTAACCAGGATCAGTGTGACCCAACCCGGCCTGAGACAGAACAAGTGAAAATATAGAAGTTAAAGGTAATAAGTGTTTTGATCATTAATGATAACATTGAAATAGCGCTAAATGAAACGTTGCCGCCTCACCATGACTTTCCAGCAATTTCGAAAGCAATGATATTACGACCGTAAAAAACAGGGATAATGATCAAAAACACCAGGAACAAGAAGCAGATGAAAAACACTACAGTCTGAATCACCATACCTGTAAAAAAGAAACACAGAAACAGGCCATTATAAGAAAAGTATCCAACATTTATTTTCAAAGCATTAAAGACCAAAGACGGTCTTTGCAAATCATCCAACTTATAACCATGTTTTTAAATCATATTACATATATGTTGAATAAATATCGATGAATCCAGATTTGGTGCTCTAGTGAGTGTTTGAGGAAGCACGGCATCAAGCATTTTCCTTCAATAAGGTGAAAATCAGTGAAGATGTTCATGTGTTTTTGAGATTTACCGAGGCAGACGATCGCAGCCTGGTATCCTGTCAAACCCATCCAGCAGACAATGCCAGGTTTAGAAGGACGGATGGTCTTCTGGCTGTTATAAATGCTGTAAACGTCTCCCTTATACAATCCTTTCAGATTTGACCTGAAAAATGGAAAGCAAGTGATAAATTAGATCCAGACCAGAAGGCATGAGAATCTAATCTCAATCGTTGCGTTTGGGGTATGGATGGATGTATCGATGTATGGGTCAAACAAATACAGGGCTATTTTAAATACCCATGAAACCGCTGTCTATATTCTGCCTTTTTTTTTTTTTACATCTCTAACTTTATAACATAACACATGCACTTATTTTACACCAAGCCATATTTTTCTATTCAAAACATCATTTAGTAGTTTTTTTGCGTTTTGTTTTTGTTTGTAATATACAAACCTCATTTTATAGTTTAAAGGGTTGACAGATAAAAGCACAATTTTTACATTACATTACATTACATTGCATTTAGCTGACGCTTTTATCCAAAGCGACTTACAATTTCAACTTTATAAATTGAATATACATTTTACCATTAGTGGGTTTGTTGAACTGCCCCCAAGTGGCAAGTGAATTAACCGACTGCTCTAAAATATGAATTTTGGTTAATTTACCAAGCAGCTCAAACTATGGCCCTGCCTCTGACCGGGTTGATAGGCAATGGATGAACCCCAAGGTTTTAGTGCACGTACCTGTGAACTATCATGGACCTCATGAGCATGACAAGACTGACCAGACAAGAGAGGGTCATTGCACAGAGGTAGCACACTGAAAAACAGTATGGTGGAAAAAAAAAAAAAATCAGTCGCGTAGTTTTATAACAATACACTCCCAGAAAGAAAAAGCAGCACCACATACCTTCAAGTAACCAAGTATAAAATGTTACAATTTGGACGACCTCCATCCTGTCGTCTGACAGAACAATCCCAAACCCAAGTAACAGAAAGGCAATGTTTTCATCAATACCAGCACGGACAATGTGGAGGACGGGGACCACCAAGACCACCAACAACAATGCAACCTGAAAGATAAACACATTCCCTTACACAATATTAATTCATGCTCCAGCAAAGCTTTATTATATTTAAAATACAAGGTCATGATGATGGTTTATTGAAAACGTACATGATATATTGCCACAAGGTCAACAAATGCCGATACGGCCAGTTGTAGTGGAAATCTAAAAACTGAAAGACAAAAAAAACTTCTGTCACAGTTGAGCTTATTTCAGTCACAGACATTTTAGAATCATTATAGAAAAATACTTTAAATGATGGTGTCAACTTACAGCAGAGTATGACTTAATTAGAAAATGGCTAATATGACAAACAGAAGCTCATCATGTAAGGGTGTACACACCTTTTTCTGGCATATAAATATAACTCTTTGGCACCTTCAGTATTCTCTCTGCCAGTGTTGGTTTGTCCGCAGATGAAGAGCTACAACAGGACAAAATGTACCTTATGTTTACGATGGAGAATTAAGGACATTGTGCGTCAAACAATTAGGGAGCTGGGGGGGAGGGATTCCCGGAAGAAACACATATTTCCCGAGAATAAAGTCATACATTTACGAGAAAACCACTTGGATATTGGTTTGAGTTGTAACTCTGCTAGAAAAAACTCAGTATTTACAAGAATACATCTGTTTATACAACCAAAATCAAGTTACGTGGTTAACCATTCTCAATGTGTAATAAAGGTACTTTAAATGTTATATTCTTATATTATTATTGATGTCTGCTTTATCTCCATTTACCTGGCATTTGAGGACTTTTTTTTTAGAAGGGATTTCACATAGTCGGTGTAATAGCTGCTGTCAAGGTCCTGTGAACAAACACGTTGTAATCAAATTATCACAATTTGAAGATAAAAAACACTGTATTCCTTTGTTGTAAACATTATAAAAGAAGACCGGTTTAGTGTTTTCCGGATTTTTTCCAGGCCACAAGAATGTCCCTTTAAAATCATTAGAAATAAACCGCAGACAGATTAAAGCCACTGTTAAACAAAAACTCTGTTGTATTTTTAGTTTGAAAGGGAGAAAGTATCACAACCCTGGTCATAATCTGCTCAAGGATGCTGATTTAAACCCTCACTGTTCCACTCAAGCTGCTTACAGTAATCATGGTTATGTTTTACATTGTTGAAATTCAGGTTCTTTCCTCAGTTTGACCATGAGCCTGAGATTAGTTTACATGTTGGCATTTTCACATATAGGATACACATATATACAGACAAATGTTGAATGTTTACATAAAGGACAAATACTATTTTTTTGTATTGTCAGATTTTCTTCTCACCTCGTCAGTCTTTGTTCCTTTGACGAAGAGCAAAATGAACTGGACACAGATATATGCGAAGCAGGCCAACTGGGGAAGACTTGCAAGCAAAGCATAGTATGTATAGATCTGTGAGGAGGGAAATAAAGAGAGGTTGTTCAAGGTAATCTCTTCTTTAAATTATTGTACAGAAAGATTAAAGCTGCAGTAGGCTAATCCATATTTTTATATGAACAGTATTTTAAATGTAAAGTGAAACATGAAAGTTATTCTGACTGTAGCTCTGTCACCACAAATACATATCACCAGACTCGTTGTGTTTTAGTGTTGGTTAACAAACTGCAACTTTAATGTTTTATTTTAGTCTCCAAGCTCTTATTAAAGTTGTTTTCTGCTGTTAGAGGTAGCTATTTTCATTCAAACAACACCGATCAGCAAACAGAACAAACTTAGTCTAGATTTATTTGTTGGGGGATTTGGGAGACCAAAATAAAAGAGCTAAAAGTAGAGCAAAGGTGGATTGTAATATGGTTCTAAGTAGATTGCTTTGTGCTTGTGCGGTGTGTAAAAAGGTTACTGTTGGCTAAATTTACTATAACATAACATCATTTACGGTAATATACCATAACATACCATAACATTTAAAGCTTAGACTGCTGCCCCCAAGTGGCCCAAAAAAATAAGCTAATGCAATTAAAAAACAGCTTTAGTTTGTTTAATTGTGTATAATTCGATGTGAACTGAGGTTCAATGATCTTATAAACCGTGAGGCAATGTAAAGTTGCAAACATCAGAGGTTTAGCTTGAACTAAAACAGCTCTGATTGTAATAAGTCCTATTGGTAATGGAAATCAAGGGGCAGCACTGCTGGCAATATTGGATTTTGTTTCAATTTGTAAATCAATGTAACGAAGGCCCTTAAATTCAAGGGGTTAGTCTATGGCAGACATTCCAGTCCAGTTAAACCATTAATGAAAATGTCAATATAAAACTACAGTGTTGAAAAATAAACATGTTGTTGTTGGTGTCTCACCTCTGGAGTCTTTGGACAGTCGAACTTCTGCCATACGTGGACCGCGAAATGACTGAAGGAGAGAAGCGTCCCAAACACATAACCTGCTTTGTGCTGCAGAGTGCAACAGACCATTAGAGGATAATACAGGATGGGGTAGTAGAAGATGGCAATTACCTTCATGTACTCTGAAAATCAAGGGGCATAAGAAGAGGATGTGTTATTCCCTGATGTGTTGCCTCCCATGGGTTACCCGATATTGGACAAACAAAAAAGAGGGAGCAAAGTCCAGTCTGAGTTGCTTTGAGTCAAACATAAAAATGTCCACCTTTAATCTCCTGTGGAGTATCTTTGGAGAAAGGCAGCGGGTCCGGGGCGATCACCAGCATTGACAGCTTGCTGAACAACAGCCCAAAAACAGCCATGACCAGGCCTTTGTGCTGAGTCTGGTCCAGGAAGTTGGCAGGACTGTGTGATCATAAACACGAACCTTAACATAAAAGTAGACAAAACCTGCAATCTAAATTCCTATTTATGTCCAGACCTCCCAAATTCACCTGAAGATGGAGGACGATCCTCTTGTGAAACCTTGGCATAATTTGTTTTTCCTGGAGAGAGCTGCCAGGATTAACATGACCACCAGCTACAGGGACACACAACATTCATTAAGACTTTATAATGCTTAAAGAAAAACATGTGATTAACTTTAATACTGGATAACCTGTTTTTGTGAACACTTAAAACATTTGTCTTGATTAGCTACTGCTGAATTTTGTCTTGAAAAGCCGCGTTCACACCGGAGTACTTTTCCCACAATAGTTCACCAGAACTACGATATATTTGCGTTCACACCAAAAAGCCCCAGGAACTAAATTAGTTAATGAGAACCTTTTTACCCCCTTTTCAGTCCCTGAGAGCAGGTACTTTCGTGGGACAAAAAGGTTCCTATGTCTGATTGGCTGGGCGGATTGCAAACCACGCCCCGTAAAACTCCCAAAACGTTTTGTGAAGCCGCCATTTTATTATCCTAGCATTAGCATGATTTGCATT